GCTGTCAGTTCATGTCTTGGAATGGTCATATCTTGGAATGGTCAGGTTTCAAAGAAGCTAACATGACTTTGCCTAGTAAGTGTATGTTTAATTTCACTAAGCTTCTTGCCTCACACTGCTTGCAAATTAAGTTTGAAAGATGAAAATGTTGGCAGAGAATCCTGGCCTCTGGTCAAGATGTAGATCCAGTCCGCCATCGCAGTTTAATATGTTTACTCTATAACACAACCCCTGAAGTGAATTAGTTTCCATGTAGATGATGGCAGACCCTGAACCTGAGGAAATCTAGACTTGCTTCATTGGGGGCTTTAGCTTTGCAGAAAGAGCTAGACAAAGGGGGAAATAATGCAGTTCCGGGACTGTGAGACAGACTAGGAGGCAATTTGAAGGAGACTTTGTCAGTACTTCACGATTTATACTTCTTTCACCCAACAGTGCTGTCAGCAATGTCACATTTATCACTACATATCACCGTTGCTTGACTACTATCTACCACACCTTACCCACCTTAGCCGACCGTGATTATTACCCAGGCATAAAGTCACACCGACCTTCTGAACGAAAGCCACACAAACCTCTCTACCGCAAACCTGCCCCAGTGATTGTTAAAGGTGAACATGCCGTTGTATGAGTTTGTGACGGATAGAAGAGAATATTGATATATGGAACGGTGTCTGCAGACGAAGTTTTGCCTTATTTGTTTTTCAACGCTGCACTCAACACTATTCAAAATATAATTATATAATATATACTTAGATTTACTCACTTAAAACACCCACTAAATGGTATGTGTATGTATGTAATGTATGTGTATATATATATATATATACGCACAAAATGTCCAAAGTAGTACAGGTGTTCAGTCATAAATATTGTAAGATAAATAAAAACAGAATGCCTTTTTCTCCAACATGTTTCGTTCTTTACTCTTCAGGGAGATTGTAGCGGTTACAGTATGACGTCATTACATATATATTGTGACGTCATAATAGGGACAACATTCTAGAGCGACAAGGTCACAGCTTGCAATGGTTTAACATTGGTTTGTACTTGTCTATGAAGTAGTGTTCTTTTAAAATTCGTTTTACTTTGTCCGAATTTTGAACTTGATAAAAAGGAAATATTGTAAATTTAACATCGTTTCCTTTCGCACAGACATCTAGATGTTCACTCAGTGGGATACATCGGGTTTCAGGACACTTTATTTGTTGTTTGTGGACACGAACCCGGGCTCTTAAATTTTCTGATTGACCAATATACTGTTCATTACAGCCTGTGCATGTTATGACATATATTATGTTTTTGCAAGAGCAGTCAAAATTCTGTTTTACATAGAATTCTCCGTGTCTCGTGAAAGTTACAGAGTGTTCTTCAACAATATGTCGACACGTTCCACAGTTACCTCTGTTGCATCTAGACACAGTAGGATTTGATAAATTCTGTTTCTTTGAAATAAATTTGGCTTTTGTTAGTATCTTTTTAAGATTCTGATTTTGTCTTTTGCTATTTATTATTTTTCTAGATTTCAGCATAGATTTCAGTTTTTCATCTTGTTCTAAGATGCACATGTTTTTTGATGTTTGTTTTTATGTTCTGGAACACATTTGGGTTCAATGGATTATAAGTAGATACAAAAGCAATTACTTTTTCCTCATTGGTTTGTTTCATCGTTCCTGTCAAAAGATCGTCTCTATTAAGCTGTAAAGCTTTATATATTCCGTCTTCAACAAGAGATTTTGGATATTCCCGTAATAGTAAAAACGTCCTAAGTTCATTCAGTCTTTGATTGCGGGTGTCTTGGTTTGAAACTATTGTACATATTCTTCGTGCCAGGTTATATGGAAGACTTCTTTTGGTGTGGCTCGGATGGCAAGATTTGAAGTTTAAATATTGTTTCGTATCTGTAGGTTTGTAGAAGATATCTGTGTCCAATTTCCGCCCCGATTTGATGACCATTGTGTCTAAGAAAGCTGTTTTAGTTTGATCTGCCTCCATAGTGAAAACAAGATTTTCGTCCATGCTATTTAATAGTTCGTAAAATGTATTTAGTTTCTCCTCAGAAAATGGCCAAATTATGAAGCAGTCGTCTAGAAATCTTTTCCAATTTTCCATGAAATAATGGGCAACATCCTCTCCAAGAATTTGACTGATTTTATGCTTGAACTTTTCCTCCAGATATCCTAAGACAAGCGTCGCATAAGTCGGCGCCATTTTGGTTCCCATGGCTGTTCCTTTAATCTGTTTATAGTACTTATCGTCAAAAAAAGAAAATATTGTTTTTTAAGATGAATTCAACGCTTTCCAAAATGAATGACTTTGAAATTCGCTCAGGAATGTGTTCTTCACAACGGTTTAACCAATAATCCAACGCTTTAAAACGCTGGTAAAGAGGAAAGGAAATGCATGGTGTCACGAGTAAAACTTTTAACATTTGATGATATTGGTTTTACCACAAAACGTTAATGAAACAAGCAAACTTGTAACTTTTGATGTAAAAAATTTGTATTCAAATATCCCGCACAGCCTAGGAATTAAAGCGTTGGATTATTGGTTAAACCGTTGTGAAGAACACATTCCTGAGCGAATTTCAAAGTCATTCATTTTGGAAAGCGTTGAATGTTATATGTTACATCGAAGATTGATTTCTCCACTAACTTGGGGGGAACCAACTGCAAACTTTATGCAGATGAACTGCATGAGGATCATGCATCAAATTGCTGAAACGCATGTGCAAATATCGTGCATGTGAACAGTTGCGTTGTGGTGTAAAGTGTTGTTAAGAATTCGCCAATTTTCACATATTTTCATCATTTACTGAACTCACGACAATAATATTCCTTTCAACGTTACGAATTTCTTTTACAATACATCAGTTCATGTGTAAACAGTACTCTTAAACAGTATGGAATATTTTGCAAAATTTAGTTGAGAACAGTTGCCTGAAGTAAGTGGCTATAATTACACTAGTGAGTCTAAACTTTTGAAGAGAAGTATATATGTATATATTCATCTTAATCACTTCTAGCTCTGGTGTATTTAAACAAAAAGACTACCATGTGAAACTAACCTTGTTTGTGGCAGTTAACAGTGCTGCTGTGCTGTGCTGCTGTCTAGTCAAAGGCTGGATGCTACAGTGCCATGTGCTTGGACACTGAGATTATTAAATGTGCATAAAATTCTTGTGTCCTATCAGAGACTAGATCTCTGATCACATTACACAAATGTGAAACAGAGGCCAGACTAAACCACCACACATCCTCAATATTCATAATTTAGATACACCTAAACAACATAGAATTATACCAACAAACCCTCAACAAAACCTTTTATGAGCTTTGAAATCTGATTGCAGACAACACAGTGTTTATTGAGTAACCCTTAACCGATAAATTCTTTAAACATATTTTGTAGTTCAGCAGTTTATACTTTTTATTTGCATAATTTTATAAATACATAAAACATCATCATCTGATAACAATAAAATTTGATATGTCTCAACTGACAAATTAACCTGTTATAAACTTATCGAGAAAATGCCAGTTGAACCTCTGTGATGCCATGGTTAAGCCAATTTTGCAAAGTATGGGGTTTTGAAAAGTTTAACTATAAAGTACTCGTATGTTCATGTGAAGATTGTACGCAAATTACTTCCCGTTTAGAAAAGCGCACCATTATACGGAAAGTTTGAAAAGACACCCTAATTAAGTCTATCAAATGTCGTATGGTATGTTTTTTCGGCTCCGGTAAAGAATTAAAGCTGTCAAGAACTATATATCAAATGTTATATGATGAAGACTGTTTTCAAACAAAAGCAATCATAAATGGATAAAATCTGTGGAAGCCGTTTTATATTAAACTGGCTTTAGCTTTTACCGGCTACATTAACAAGCTGTCTTTGCCAATGTAATTTATTGTATTATCTCATTAAGGTTACATGGCATGCAGAACTTGTCTTTGAAAACTATTTGACATATATCCCTTTCTCCTTGGCTCTTAAATTCCTCTTGTTAAGAACGTCATCGTTTACTTAGAGAATTAGACAGGTGGAACAAAATTCGTCAACAGGAAAGAATATGCAACATCTTCGACATGTGCGATGTTGGCGATGAATGTCATTGTTGTTGTGATTTCTATTAATTATTGGTATATAAACTCAGAATACAGTTGTTAATTATAACACATTACTTCCTTGTTTGTTATTTTACAGATTGATTTCCAGTTAACTTAATGTTTCAGTTCGGGAGGTGTGTGTGTATGTGTGTGTGTGTATGTGTGTGTGTGTATGTGTGTGTGTGTACATGTATTTATGTTTGTATATATTTATATGCGTGTGTGAATGGACTTTCTATCTTGTAGTATATAGATGGCTGTCCTAGTGGTTTCCCGACATTTTAGTCATATTTTATGTTTTAGGGTATACTGTCATCATTTCCCTGTGGAACACAGAGCATATATTCCATGAGTTCCTGTATGTACTCGTCTTTTTTCCATACAAATCGTAATACCGTTGTAGCATTTATTATTTCACACTACTACGTATTAAATGTATATAGGAGCTACTTGTCAATTTGTAAGGCTACACAAAAAGTGAATATGACACTCGAGCAAGACTTTCACCACAATCCTTTATTTTTTAATTCATTTAGATAACTCAATATTACATTCGCTTTCACTACATTCATTCCAAGGCCATAATGCTGACCATCAAAACTCATCATTCCGTCAGTCATGTTAAAAGTGTTGAAAATAGGAACCTTCCAAGGTTTAAGGAAAGTTTCCATTTTGCTATTGTAGCGTTTTACACTCTCATACGATTGCGTCAACACTTTGGGGGACTTCAGGGCACTTGGAGCGTGACTCGCTGCCCACAGAAATTGTGGCCAAAGTCTTTTGCTCTTGCCTATGTAGGACAGTGTTGGTAGTAGAAACTTCTTTTGAACTTCCGATATGATTAAAGTTATCGTGTATGCCTATGCCTGAAAAAATAATTGATTTGCTATTTAAATTTGTAACCATTTTTTCAGATTTCTTCCAAATGATGCAGCGAAGAAGTACTTCAGTTCCAGATGAACAGTGCCATTGCAAGCACGGACGCTATACTTCAGTTGGAGTCGACACGATGTTTCCGTGAACATATACATTCCGCTACACTCGTTTCGAACACCTGAAAGATAAAATCAACATGACTCAAGGCAAATAATACACTTGACATATGTTTAGGTTATCTATTGAGCAGCTGTCTATGAGCAAATGGCTTTAAGAAATCGATCTCCATTCGTTTGTTACATCCTGGTTCTCCGAGTATGCTGCCTTCGGACTTCACTGACTTTTGGCAGAAATGGGCGTTATTGTGGAGACATATACTTTGTTATTGTATCGATACAAATTGTACCACCCGCTCTTGGACGTTTCTATGGTAAATATATGGCGTGTTGCCTACTCGCGACCGTCTTGTGCAGTCATTGTAAGTGAGCAAAGTGCCAGCACAGCATACTCATGGAACAAGCTTGACGTTTGCGACACATAATCAAAGAAGAATGCATGTAATCTCAAATACCCTTTTTCCAAAAAGTATCAAATCATTTTCAACCAATACACATCGATGGTAAAATGTAATATGTGAAAATGTTCATTACATGGATGTTGTAAAAAAAGTAAGTAAAAAATGTTTTCCTTCAATGTGTTTCAGTGATTCCAACGTGCCTGAACTATGTAGACTGAAGCATTTGTTCCTCAAATTCAAACCTAAAGTACTAACTCAGTGAATCATTTGTACTTACTCTTTGGTACGTTATCATTCATGGCTCCATCTTTCATATTCCCTGTCACAATCAGCAACATAGCTGTATACACATGGCGAACAAGGGAATCCCCCACAAACAGAATGGTGCTGCCATTGAGGATGCTGCAAGCTTCTTGGGGACTGTGTTGCTTGTAGCCATGGCTTGGGTCTGATGGGATCCAGGTGGAATATTCAGCATGTTTCTGGTTCCTCATGTCATAACAATCCGCACACACACATTCCTCCACAGACTTTAAAACACACTTGCTGTTGAAGCAGCAAGGAGTTGTTCCTTTAGGATCACACAAGGCTCTTATCCACTCCGCAGTTTTAGATCCCGTGTGGGTAACGTTTCCACAGAGACCGTCACTCCTTTGATAATTTGAAGGGAATTTGAAGCGGATACTTACGTTCGAAAGGAAATTCAATATATCTTCATCTTCCTTTTCAGTCAAAGGTCTTGTTTTCCAGTGTCCGTTCAATAAATGAGACAGGATACTTGAATGTTGATCATATGGTGATATCGGTTTTGGTAAATATTTACTGCTTACTGGAAGATACTTTTGGAAAACGTGTCTCGAGATATTGCTCGAAGTCATCACTTGAGTGCCGTGTTTGTTTGTAACAAGAGCTACAATTGACGCAACCAGTACCATTATTACCATTAGCACGAATATCTTCTTGTATGAAGTCATGGTGCCAATTCTGAAACCAAGAAAAACCAAGCCGGACTTAATGGAATTTGTAAATACACCGACTCTAATTATAACATTGTGCAATAGTAATAGATGTTGTCAAGATTGTCCAATCTTACTGACACATCTTGTTGATTTCATCCAAACAATAGTTTTCATAGGGTATGAAAGGCAGATTGGTGGTGACAATTACATTTATTTGCATCAAGCACTGAAAACCAGCGATGGCACTAAGGATTCTCGCAAAGGGGAAAGATAGCCTGCCCTTCCTGTTATATCCATCGATCACAATTTGCGCAAAAGATTGCTTGTTGCAACGACAACACTGTTTAACTATAAACTTCACTTTCATATAGCAAGAGTATTCTACGTACATTTTCTCTGCTCTATTTTCTTTGTGGATGACATTGCTTTAAAAGGTTTGGTCGTTAGTTTCAACGTAATTGTTCCTGTTGACATGCTCTCGGGTTTCGACTGATAGTTTTGATGACAAGCGTACGACATCGGTTCAGGAACCTGCTGGATGAATAGTCCACTAGTGACGCCTGGGTGGGTGAGTGGGTTAGACGGCTGACTTAGTGCGCTGGCGATTAGATGCCTGACTCTGAGAGAATGGGTTCGAATACCGAATGGGACTAAAATCTGTACTTAAGTGAGAAAGTGTACTCTCACATACATATAACATATGCATGTGTTGTTGGGGTTGGCTAAACACCACACTGTTGGGATTGTCTAAACACCACACTGTTGGGGTTGGCTAAACGCGACACTGTTGGGGTTGGCTAGACATCAAACTGTTGGGGTTGTCTAAACACCACCCTATTTGGGTTGTCTAAACACCACCCTGTTTGGGTTGTCTAAACACCACACTGTTGGGGTTGTCTAAACACCACACTGTTGGGATTGGCTAAACACCACACTGTTGAGGATTGGCTAAACACCACACTGTTGGGATTGTCTAAAACCACACTGTTGTTGGGACTGTTTGGCTCTAAACACCACACTGTTGGGATTGTCTAAACACCACACTGTTGGGATTGTCTAAACACCACACTGTTGGGTTGTCTAAACACCACACTGTTGGTCTAAACACCACACTGTTGGGATTGTCCAAACACCACAATGTTGGGGTTGTCTAAACACCACACTGTTGGGATTGTCTAAACACCACACTGTTGGGATTGGCTAAACACCACACTGTTGGGGTTGCTTAAACACCACACTGTTGGGGTTGGCTAAACACCACACACCACACTGTTGGGATTGTCCAAATACCACAATGTTGGGATTGTCTAAACACCACACTGTTGGGGAAGGCTAAACACGACACTGTTGGAATTGTCTAAACACCACACTGTTGGGATTGTCTAAACGACACACTTTTGGGGTTGTCTAAACACCACACTGTTGGGGTTGTCTAAACACCACACTGTTGGGGTTGTCTAAACACCACACTGTTGGGATTGTCCAAACACCACACTGTTGGGATTGTCTAAACACCACACTGTTGGGGTTGTCTAAACACCACACTGTTGGGGTTGTCTAAACACCACACTGTTGGGATTGTCTAAACACCACACTGTTGGGATTGTCTAAACACCACACTGTTGGGGTTGTCTAAACACCACACTGTTGGGATTGTACAAACACCACACTGTTGGGTTGTCTAAACACCACACTGTTGGGGTTGTCTAAACACCACACTGTTGGGATTGTCTAAACACCACACTGTTGGGATTGTCCAAACACCACACTGTTGGGATTGTCCAAACACCACACTGTTGGGATTGTCTAAACACCACTGTTGGGTTGTCTAAATTGTTGGGATTGTCTAAACACCACACTGTTGGGACCACACTGTTGGGGCTGGGGTTGTCTAAACACCACACTGTTGGGGTTGTCTAAACACCACAACATTGTCCAAAACACCACACTGTTGGGATTGTCTAAACACCTCCCTGTTGGGATTGTCTAAACACCACACTGTTGGGGTTGTCTAAACACCACAACATCAAACTGTTTGCTGAACACGTTGTGTTGCAACTGTTAATGTCTAAACATCAAACTTTGCTGTTTGCTTGTTGTTTAACACCGCACTTCAGCAATATTCCAGCTGTATGGCGGCGGTCTGTAAATAACCGAGTCAGGACCAGACAGTCTAGTGATTAAGAGCATGAGCATCAATCTACGCCGTTGGGATATGATGACATGTGTCACCCGATCCCGGTAGTCGCCTCTTACGATAAGTATGGGTTGTTGAAGACCAATTCTCAGCACTATAAGCCTGCTCACAAACCACAATCTGACATGTTGATTCTAAGGTCAGCCCAACAAACTACCGTGTTTCGTAGTTTTAAATATCGCCAAACGGCAGAAACAATGCACAGACAACATATTCTTTCTGTATTGCAGCTATATCTGGGACATTTACCACAAAAGAACAATCCCAAATCTAGCTTTCATTTTTCATTTGTTCAAATTTTACTGAAATCCGGAATAATTTATACTTTATACATTTTTATACATTTCGTTCTGTTCCATTTGACAACAAATATGTCTCAAGGAACCAAATTTAAACATTCGACATTCCGCCCGTTGTTTGGTTTCAATAGCAGACAGATTCAGGAGATTTAGATAAGGAAAATACATCAACATGTACACATCGCACGTATCAGATGTCGCCATACGTCAGTATTTCGGTTCAACGTGCTCTGAATATATGTGCTGACGTTGCACTTTGTAATATATGTTGTATTGTATGGGAGCGGTGTTAACAAAATATAATACTCACCTTTGTAAAACGTGTGCATAGTCACTTGGTTATTGTTTTGTTGCAAATATCTGTAACTGTGGCGGCAACATGATGCGTATATTTGCTTCATTACACTCCTTGCTTAACGTCCATGATGGAGTAGTTAATCCATAATATAGTTCCCCTTAAGTAATATGTTCAAAATATACCTTTTTACTATGAAAATATCTCTCTTTGTATTTACCAAGCATTCAAATTACGGTACAAAATAATGCAGCTGGACTGTTAAAACATATTCAGTACTCTCACCTGTGAACACAGTTTCTACAGCGAAGCGTCGCACTCATTGCAATAAAGACGTTGACTATCCTTAGAAGTTGGTTTTCCTTCATCTTTACAACCTCTAATGCCTCTCAAAGAACAGTTCCATGTGGTGTGTCCTTCTGTTTCCAATCGGTATGTATGCACACCTACAAACAATGCAGGCCACGTAAAGCGGAGACGTACGACCTGTCACTCACGCATACCTTGACACGCCCAGCAATACATATTGACCTATTTGTGATGTCGTAGTAGTAAAAAGCCAGTTACAATATCGAGTGGTCGTGTGTTTGCTACGCGCCTGTTCTAATACAGGTAAGAATGACCTTACAATATATCATATTAACAATAGTAAAATTACAACCACGTTAGCTGCTTTTAATACGCTTGAAGTACACATAAATTCAGGTACTATACTGAACAATCGATGGATACGAGCATCTGTTCATGGAGATTTTTCATAATATTTGTAAGAAAATCAGAGAAGACATGCATACAGTTTTCGCTTTTTGCGGTGAGTAGGACTGCATATACTATGAAACAAACTTATAACATCATACTATTCCCGATTTTACTTAGCAACATCAAAGACAATTTGCAAGTACTAAGAGCGACAATAGGTTTACTGCCTTGGTGATTTTCCTGCAGTGTGGAGAACAGTGATATTTTGTGGCTAACTGCAGGTAAAGCAATTGTTTTATAAATGAGATGCGTGAGATAGGTGGGGCAATTGACTGAGTATGAAACTCTCGTATACGAGTAAAGAGAGTGAGTTACTAATGGACAATTGATCGGGTTTATGTATACACATAGTGAGATAGAATACTGAGTGCAGGGAATACCATATACAGTGAAGCATATATTCACTGTGTAAGGATATTAGTAAGTGAGTGAGTATGGTTTAACGCCGCTTCTAGCATTATTCCAGCAATATCACGGCGGGGGACACCAGAAATGGGCTTCACATATTGTACCCATGTGGGGAATCGCACCCGCGTGACGAGCGAACGCTTTTACCACTAGGCTACCTCGCCGCCCTGTAAGGATATGAACACTGACAAACGCAAATTAGATATGTGTAGAACAGCCATTTTTATTACAATTTGCGTATTACAATTTACGTCAATTTTTATTACAATTTACGTTTTTATTACAATTTACGTCAAGTTTATTACAATTTGCTGCAAGTATTACAATTTGCGTTTTTATTACAATTTACGTCGTAACACAGCCATATCATAATATCATTCCATATAAATATAAAATATGAATATAATAATCTGCAAACATTCCCAAAGCAGTGCCAGTGCCAGTGACAGGTGTTTGTGAAACTCGTTATATTAGCCTACACTTATCCAATAAGCATTCATTTCCATATGTAGGAATATGTTTATTAATTTGGGGAGAAAATATGTCGGAAATGCAACATATCTACATTGCCACAACATTAATCAATATATTTCTTGTGCATGCTTGTCACTTTTCCCTTCTTGATGTTCTTTCATAATGGGCAGGGGGCCGTGCTGTAGACCAGTGGTTAAAGCGTTCACTCGTCACGCAAAGAGCTCGGGTTTGATTACCCACATGGGTATTTCTGGTGTCATCCGCCGTGATATTGCTTACTCACCCATACTAGGCAAATGAGATTCATGCTGAATATTTAAGAAAACACTGCAATTTTACAAATGCAAAAGCAACAAGAAACACACACATACACACACACTACATACCATAAAAGGCTACACAGCGTGCAAGCTGAGTGATGGATCTAACAACAGTTGTTAAATGTATGAGAAAATTCAGCGTTATAGGTATGGTCTCATAAAACCAATAAACATATCCGAGGCATGATAAGATACATAATTACAAGCTCCGGACCGCCGTGATGTTGGTGGAATATTGCTAAAAGCGGCGTAAAACCAAACTC